CGACCATAAGGGTTGACGATGGAAACATCTGACACGTTGGTAAATGGCGTTCCTTCGTCAAGGTTTTGTACCCGGGCACGGTTGATGAAGCACGCCCTACATATATGCCAGTCTAATGACGCCCTGAGGATAGAAATTTTCAGTTGCTTCAGTCAGAAAAGAAAAAGGTCACACAGCTGGCAATCTGTGCATGGTAGGTATGCCAGTCCACCGATGATCCTGAGCGTGGTTCGTGTACATTGTAGTCTCCGAGAATTCGCGACTCATTTCATGATGCCAAATCGTGATGAGAAGTTGGCGAGAGGGGCACTCCGAGTAGGGCCCTGAGCGTTCGACGTAAGTCTGCATAAATGTCAGTTGAGACTCTGATTCGAGTTGCCTCATGAGAGTCGAAGTACATACTTCTCTAGAAGAATTGGCCCATTCATGGCGTCTACACGTCCAAATTTCTTGTTCCGGATGGAAATGTCAAAGAACTCGTCATGATTGTCGGACTGCATCAAGTTCACGGTTTGTTGGAGCTCGTCCAGATTCTCTCGAAGCATCGCTCCATTCTCCAGACTTTCGACAAACTCTGTTAGATACTGGACATCTTTTGCGAGTGCAGCTACTGCATTGGTGTTGATATGTTTGACGTCGGGAGACAACGGCAGTGCCTGTGGGGTTTTGGGTAAGCCTGGAAACAGGGAACAGCAACGCTGCGGAGCATCAGTCGACGTACTAGAATCTTGTTGGCAGCATGACTGAGAGCATCAAAATAGATAAGTTCCTTGATCTCCCGTGGCAAGCCCAAAAGCGTCGAGTTCATAATATTGGAAAGGTATCGTGTCATGGTCTGCATGTAACTGCTTGGGTCGGGGGATGTAGTTGTTGCCATCCTGCGACGTATTGTTAGTTTTGAGAGCGAATAGAAATGAACTACTGCAGCCATGTTCCCCAAGAGCAGCAACAGCATCACATACCAGTCGTACTCCGCAGTATCCACGAGGTCATCGATCTTGGAATTGACGAGCTCGAATATGCGCTTCTCGGCAGTCTTCTTATTGTTCCGAAATTCTTCTGTGGCCACCAGTGTAACGGGGCCACCAGCCGATGTCGATGACCTTGCTCTGATGAGCAGCTGCTCCAGTTCCTGGCATGCTGCCTCAAAGTGCTCCAAATTGATCAATATTTGCACAATTTGGCCCAGATATTGCGAGCTTAGTCTTTCAACGAGGGACTTGCACACTTTCTCTGTCAATAACTCGTCGAGTGACTACAGTGGGCGCGATTAGTTGCCAACTCTCCAGAGTCACGTGAATGAAGATCGTACCTTGCGGAGTGTCTCGTCAATGACATTGGGGTGCTGGAAATGATCGTCGGAAAAGAAGTAGAACTGGTTCAAGAAGTTCCGGATATCAATGCAGCACAAGGGGTACATTTGGGAAAAGGGCAGTACGCATGGGAAGCTAGACAAGCATTAGAATAATGAGGCATAACTATCGTGAGGGATGGGCTTACCTGAGCTCTTCCAGGGTCTTTTCTTGGGAGAACCAGCTGACATTTACCACCTTCTCGTACTCCTCGCGCGTATTGATTGCCATAGGCATGTAGTCGTCTGTTGAGACGATCTAAAATCGTCAGCTACGAACTATTCCCTACAAGGGGGACATCGGCGCTTACCTCTTGGAAGTCTTCGCTGAAACGGCGCTTCAAAAGCTCGGCATACTTGTCGAAAAGTTTGAGGAGGAAGTTGTCGAGCATAGATACGGAATAGCCCCATCCCTAGATTTGCCTCAGCATTAACGGAACCCCATCATACCAACAGAGCGGGAAAAGTACCTCCATGGTTTGGATGAACAAAGCTATGACACCCTTGATTTTGAGGAGGATCTCGGCATTGCTAACTTCGTTCAGGGCTTGCGAAGTCAGAGTGATGGCGGTGTGACACATCGAGTCCCATAGCTCGTCCACCTGTGGTATTTCAGCAACTTGAGGCGCAGCAGTGTCGCTTCCTCCTACTCACGTCGATAGCGGACCGCAGATGAGGAGCCCGGCGCATTGTGGCCTTTTCAATGATGGCGAAGCCTGCGATGCCCTCGAGCAAACTGCTGAGTGAGGTTTCATCGTCTGCTACTAGTCCAACGGTACTAGGCAACAAAAGATCCTTCTGTTGCCTGCGGGTAGTAGCGTATTCTGCTCGGAATTTCTCGTTCTGTCCGAGGGCGTCGTGGATGTGGAGGCATTCGAATAGAGGCGTGAAGTCGACCTGCAGCTCCTCATTGTCCAACACGTCAAACTCTTCACTTTCATCAAAGACGAGCTCAATGGAGGAGTTAAGCTTGAATTTGGTAAGGTATCCGTCTTGCTCAACACGTTCTCTTTGTCTCGCTCTCCTAAGTTCGGTATGGTAGAATGCAACCTCGCCGAGGAACTGCGAAGTTTCGCGGATTCGGAAGAGCCAGGTATTCAGATCCGCCATCACAGCTTCCGAGATGATCTTCTGCGATGCCGGAATGGACTTCTGGATTACGTCGGCAAGTCTATGCTGAGTTGCGTACTTATTCTGAATGGTCGGTATGAGATGCTCGTTTTGCAGGTCATCGAGGGACTTGAGTGCGGCGTAGTACTTCTTCTTGCGGATCAGATCGTGGGCATGGTTGACAGCGTGCAGTATCTTCAGAGATTCTTTGAGGGCTTCGGAAGCATCGGCGATGTTCTGGCGCACAGCACGCGTGTCGACGAGGGCTTGCTTTTGGTTCGCGAGCTTTTCGGTGCTTGCTTGGATAGACTGATTTAGCCTAAGGATCTCGGCCGTCAAAGCGACGGTACCTTCGCGGACAGTTTGCAGCTGGTTGACGGAACCTAGAAATTCCTCATGCTTCGTCAAGCCGATTCGCTCGATATCAGACTCTCTATCCTCGGCATATCTTGCGAGGTTCTGGGTGAGTGACGGCGTTCGATTCGAGTTGGAGGCGTCTTTGAGCACGGGGATAAGCTGGTCCAGGAAGTCCGAGTCTGTGGAAGTCAGAATGATCTAAGGGTTGTTAATAAATCAGCATCGCCAGCATTGTAGAAGGGTATGCTGCTGGAGGTTCAAAATAAGGTGCCTAACCTGCTGGACAGCAGCACCATAGTCATCATAGGTCTGCGGGCGACGGGGCATCTTCGTCCACAGGCTGCTAATCGGAGCCAGCAGTACTGTCGATGGCTCCTTGTCGCTATCCGGTGTGCTCAGGCTGGCTGCGTCCCTTTGATCTCTTCGTTTCCGTCGAGCCACCTTTTGTTACCTGCGATTCCGTGGAAAACAAAAGCTGTGTAATCAGAGATAAGGTGTTGATTGAGACACGTTCGTGAGCAAGTCTAAGTAAGGTTGGCTCGCATAGGCTCCAGATCAAATGCTGGGGAAGTTGTGGTGATGGAGGGTTAGCGGTTTGAGGCTCTTTGGTGGACCTCCGCTAATGCAGGTGCAGGGGTGGAAGCAAGTGCACACCCTGAGCTGCATCGTTTTAACTACGGCCCCCACCTACCAGGTACAGTGCACCCGCCATCAGGTGCCTAAAACCGGGAACACCTCCAGCTGACTTTACATACCTACCTAGGTAAGGTAGGTACTTCCAAACTCCAGTGTAGACAATGGGGCATTCTTCAGATGGGACATCCTGGAACATAAGCACCCACAATCATAGGTATATAAGGGGTGCTCTCGGTTGTGTGGTCTATGGGAGCAGACGTTCGTGTTGGTATGCCCCTCCAGTCTCTAACATTATGTTAACCCCGCCCAGATCAACACCCTCTATAATGTTGACAATATCTTATCAAAATATAAGTCTTTGGCTACCAAAAGACAACTGCATCCTGAAGTACATCAGTCACATGTATGGGAAGCAGCACCAGCTAACATTAGAAGGCAGCAAGGTAGAAGGTTGAGCAAGCATCTTGACTATAAACACAAATGGCGCACTGGGTGCTTTGGTCTCTTCCATCTTGGAGCTGGAAGTATGCCTATCGTGTATCACATAATCACGTGGGCTGCATGTGTCTGGACTGCTGTGGTCGGCCGGGAACTGGTCGTATCCTTGTAAACAGGACAGAGGAAGAGTGGTAGGGAAGGTAGAGAAAGGAAAGTGCCTTCCGACAGAGGCTGAGCTCCGCGCACATTATGGTCACTCTTCAACCGCTTCCTCGGAGTAAGTCAGGTAGGCAAGGTACCTTATCTAAGATAGATAGGTAGGTAGGAGGATGTAGGCGTGGGAGGTGCAATCCACCCATCCTGCAAAGATCATCTTCACAGGGAAGGAAGGAAGGAAATGCGACTGCCGCATACAGGCCTTCTATCTCAGTACCTTCGCTAATCCAACGGCACTTGCTGTGGTTTTCTCGTTGGTCACTGCGCCTTCTAATCCCACGCACGCATCTTTCACAGAAAGGAAGGAAGCGGGAAAGCCCATCGCCCTCAGCCGACCCTGCGAGCAGCCCTCGCGCGCCCTTCCTCTCCTTCACCTCATCAACCTTCCCGTCTCATTTTTTTGTTCCGCTCTCCTTTCCTCTCATTTCTTCTTTCTTGCCATCCCATCTTCTGAGATACTCATCCGTCCAGTTCCTCGATATTTCGCCAAGCGAGGACAAACACTCCAACAACCCAAAGCTGTCTTGTCCTGCCGTTTCTGGCGGCGAGACCTACCTTACTCATTCCCAAGTTTAGGCCCACACAACTCGGTGTTCTCGATCTCCATTCCATCTGCAGTCACAGCTCTACCTTACGGTGTATGCTGTGGGTGTTTGACTGGTTCTCTAGGACTGGAATAACGGCATCAACTTTGATATTCAAAAGCCTTGTTTCTCCCATTAGGTACGTGATGACAAGCCTTTGCCTCAGCTACCCCCCTCCCTTGCCGGCTGTGGTCATTGGGACTTCACTACTTCTGTCTTCTCTTGTATACCCTTCCTCTCCTCCGACAGGAAAGTTCCATTCTAACTGTCCTTGATTTGCGCCGTAGAGCAGGGACACGGCACGCAACATGGCGCACAACCGCGAGTCGGTGGTCTTCAACCCGTCTTCCCCGCGGTCTTCTGTTGGAGGAGCCGAGTCCTTCAAGGGAACTCCAGACACGAGACTCACGGCTTTCTCTCCAGAAGAGGGCTCTGCGAGATCGTCTCGTCTCCTCAAGTCCCTCGGACAAGACTCCCCAGACGCCACGCCGTCTAGGTTTCATTCCATCGCCTTTGGTGGGGGAATTTCCAATGCTGACAAGGACCCGTTCATTACTACCACGTCGAATGTTGCTCTTCAGAAGCTTTCGCCGACAGCCTCAGCTTTTCAGCCTTTTGTTGGCCCCGTGGCGACTCCTGATCGTATCAGGCACAGGAACCGCAATCTATTCTCGCCTAGCCGAAAAGAAGAGGGCGAACTGTCACAGTACCTCAGTATTTGGTCGTCTAGTCGGACTCTGAACGCAACTGATCTTATGTCGTATTTCACGGTGAGTGTCGATATATCGACAGGTCATTTTACACCGACTGACACCCAACCAGAAGCTCCAACGCTTAGGTCTCTCGGTTCAAGAGCCAAGGCAGATCCATCATCGGAGTGGGAGGGCTATCGTCCATTTCGGTGATATACGTGATGCTGTTCTGATCCACGACAATCTGCACCGCGTCCAGGCAGACTTAGAGGTGGAGTACATATCTGAAGCTCATTTTTCCGAGGTATCATCCTGCTTCTCCCTTCCTCCCGAGAACAATCTTCCTGACCTTTACGCAGCACGCCGGACAGACCCCTGTGAAGTGTGGCTCGTGGGTGTCCATCCTGGCCATTGCCACACCTTCGGGAGTCCTTGACATATCCCGCTTTGAAGCAGTTGTCAAGCGTCATCTACAAGCAAAGGGCCATCTCTCGGCCTATCACGCGCAGCAATTACACGACGAGGACACTTACAAGGCTGTCGCAGAGTTCAGCGATGCGTCAGAAGCCTTGTCTGCAGTCGTCTCGCTCGACAACAGAATCATCGAGGTATGCCGTTGAGTTCCTGGCCTCTAGAAGGCTCTCCTCTCGGCACCTGCACCAGACGCTGATTTGACTGCAAGGGAGCACACATCACTCTGTCTTCCATTGACACTGGCGGTGTATTTCAGACAACACACGAGGAGCAGGATGGCCCCGTCGAAGCTCCTGGCCCCCTTCTTCCTAGCCAGGACCTGACAAACGCCTTCCAGGCTTTGGCCATGTCCAAGAACCCGACGCAGATAGGCATGTCGCCACATGGGACAAGTATGATGGGACCAGGCTCCACGTACCCTCCTCTCGGAATCCAGGTCCCCCCTTTTGCGATGTGGCCGATCCTGTGCCAGCCTCAATTTCAACCGGGAATGGGATACCTCCTTGACGGTGGTCCTCGCTTGTCGTTGCCGCCAGCTACGTCGAGTCCTGCTGGATACCAGTTTGTTAGTCCGCTCTTCTCGCCTCAAGCACGAGGTTTGTCTACGGCTGGATCGATGCCATGCAGCCCAAAACCCGAGCCTCGAAGACAGCACGCCTCTCGTATTAACAGGTCCCCGTACTACAACGTTACAAGCCATCACAACCATGTCGACGTCAATCGCATCCGCGAAGGAACGGACGTCCGCACAACTGTACGTAGACCAAATGAATCCGACTTTCAAAGCTGACTGTGTCCAGATCATGCTTCGTAATATTCCCAACAAGGTTGATCAAGCCATGCTCAAGCGGATCGTAGACGAGTCCAGCTGGGGAAAGTACGATTTCATGTATCTGAGGATCGACTTTGCGAATGACTGCAAGTACGTTCCCCCTCTCGTCCCTTCTCATCATATAAAGACTAAGCACAAAATCAACACAGCGTCGGATATGCGTTCATCAACTTCGTAGACGTGAGTGTTTCTTTGACCTTGTGGGAAAACCGAGTGCTAACAAATCATCCAGCCGCTGGACATCATCGATGTCAGTGAATACCCCACAGCTCAGCGGTGCAGTGCTGATATAGCCACAGTTCGTCAACACAAGGGGCAACCAGAGATGGAACTGTTTCAAAAGCGACAAGGTCGCTGAGATCTCCTACGCCAGTGAGTCATCCAGACTCTGGGTTGCAATGTCGAACCCAGCCGCTAATCAGACACGTGAAGCCATCCAAGGCAAGGATTGCTTGGTTCAGAAATTCAGAAACAGCTCTGTCATGCTTGAAGCAGCGCACTATCGTCCCAAGGTACGGCTCTGCATTCTGCTGAAATGGAAAGTTCTGCTCATTATCACGCAGTTGTTTTACACATCCAACGGTCCCATCCCAGAGCTTGCTGGAGAGGAAGAACCCTTTCCCCAGCCAGACAATCAGTCCAAGATGAAGCGAAGTTGCGAGAATGCAGAGCACGTCGGTAAGACAGACAAGATTTTTGAATTGCTATAGATACTCACGCGAGACTCAGGTCTTTTCACGCCCAACGCTGGCCAGCATTTCCGTGACGAGCAACGCCGTAGACGCTCGCAGTACGACCGAGGTACAAGGCTGGCCGCCCTCGAGGAACACGACTTCGAGACCAATATGCACTCATACATGTATCACCAACAGTGAGCGAAGAAGGATCTTTGGACGACGCTTGGTCCGGGAGATTAGCATGAAATTGGGTTGTCCGAACGCGTGGGCCCACAGCTTTGTTTGCTATATTACAGGAGCTTTCTGGAAGCGTCAACCATGTGTAATCATTAATAACTAGCTAGAGCCCGCAGACATATCATGGCTGTCTACTCTGATACTCTCATCCCTAGACCGACTTAGAACCCGACACTTGTTTCTTTGCAGTCCTACAGGCTGCATTGTTTTTCGGCTTCCATTTCCAGAGCACAGTACTGTTTAAGGCGGGTACTCCGGCAGGGCAGGCAGTGGCTTGCGTGTTGCCAGCGAACCAACTCCACGACTGGATGGCGGGAACCTTAGATCCGGCACTGCGATCGGGGGCGTCTCCAAAGACGAGATTGCTGGTGGGCATCGTTCTGTAACCCGGGTGGGAGAGTCCGGGGCTGTCAAGGGTTCATCTGTAACAAATCCTCCCTCCTCTGTGGAAAGAGTACTGTGGCTGGAAGAAGAGCACTGGTAACCAATGTCTAGCTCATTTCCGAGATACTGTTCATCTCGGACATGATCTGTCCCCGGCATCTGATCTGGGCCGGACACAGCCTCATCATCGATGTAGGAACCGTGTGCGATGTCTGATGTCGGCGTGAGTAGCTGACGGTGCTCATTTGGCGCTTCTGTTAGAGATGGGCCAGTATCGAAGTGACCGCCGTCGCTGCATTCAACAGGCCGCCCAAACTTGTCATATCGAGAGGCGAAAGAGTTATCGACATTGCGATCAGTTGGTAGGCCTGGTAGGGGGTGGTTCAAGCTTGGGGATCGATAGGCATCAAAAGAGCCAGTTAAGATGGGTTGCGCCATGGCTCTCGAGAAAATGACCAATACAAGGCAAGAAAGTAGGAGAATGGCCTGTACAATTGCCATTCGCTTCTGGAACACCACCTCGTCGGCAAGAATGTTGAGTCGTGAGCTCAGCGCCACGGTTTCTCTCTGTGATTGCTCCCGCTGACTTTCCAGTGCAATGACCGTCGACTGCCAAATTTGGTCGTATTGCTGGCGTACCGTCCGCAGCTCTGAGAGAACAGTATGATTCAGACTGTTCAAGAAAGAATCAATTCTGGACAGCTGTTTTCTTTCAGTCAAATATTGGGTCGCCTGCAGCGAACGTGATTGATCTTCGATGTACTTGAGTGATAAAGTCACATTGGCTTCCAGTAATTGCAGCCGCTTACTGACAGCCTTGAAAAAACTCTCCTGCACAGTAGGAGAAGCAGGGGCTGCTGTTGAGTTGTTCTTGGATCGAGACTGAGCATTGGACTGCGACGTTGCTTTGGTCGGAGAAGAGCTAGCATTTATGTCCTCAGTCCCTGCTCCTGCTGGGCGGGGGTCCGGCGGCGTGTTGATTTGGTGAGAAGTTGCAGAGGCCGAAGCTGCTGTCGATTCGGGGCTAATCTCTGGTTGATTGCCGCCGATGATTGTGTGGACAGGTGGTTTGTTTTCTCCCATGTGCCCATTGGAGATTCCGGATGCCAACTTCTTCTGAACGTTGGGCCCTGTGTCAGCAAGATTTGCTTCTGTCGATGGTGGCGTCGCTGTCATTCCCGCGACGGGACCCCTTGTAGATTTCGGACAAGTGGAATTATCCCAAACAGAGGATCTAAACAGTTTGAGTGGCTGGAAAGGATCCATTGAGTAGTCAAGATCGCAAGCTGTTATGGTCTCGCCCGAATGGCTTGTTGGGGAGTGAGATGTCCTATCCCACGCTGCCAAGTCGGCGGTCGTATCAGAGCTACTTACAGAGCCGGAAATGCCCTCTGGCGATTCATCAGCTACATCCTCTTCGTCGGCGGGTGTCTCGGTGTCCTTCCAGGACTCCAACATTCGAGTGCCATGGACTCGTAGCAAAGACACCGGGCAATAGTACTCGTTCCCATAGTGGCTCAAGAACTCAACGCGGACATACTTTGCCCAGATCAGAGGATTGGGTACAAGGAAAGGCTGTATGTCTCGAGAGTTCTTTGCCTCGAATGTGCCAAGGTCCTTCCACTTGTCGACCTTAACAGGATATCTGTCGCTGACACTGACTCGGAACTGACGGATCATGCTCGAAAAGAATTCAAAGTTGGCAAGCACCACTGTGTCAACCAAAATGTCATCGCTCAGCTCCACGATGACGAATTTGTTTTCCGCCGAACACTCTAAAAGCATATAGGAATCCTTGTTTTCGACTAAGATGGCTTTCGCATTCTTCGCACCCTTGTTGGTCTTCAGAACTGTCGCGCCGGCATCAAATGACGAGTACGAGAATCGTTCTTTGCAGGTCTTCCCAGCATCCTTGCTTCGATAGTATTGGGTCCTGCCATCGTCGTAGAGCACCGGTTCTTGGAGGTCTGATGCTCCCGACTCAGTTGGTAATGCTTGCGGCGCCGATGCAATGTTGCTGATTTTCTCCGAGACAACATCGAAATTTAGATCGATCTCGCCATCGTCACCCAGACTGTCCAGCCCCGAGGTCTTCGCTGCTCCATCATGATCTTCACCTCGATCATAGGTCCTGCGACTTTTCAACTCGGATGGATCCTGCCCGGCCTTGCGAAGCATCATTTCTTTCCAGTCTTCGAATGACATGAAGGGCCTTGGGCTTGGTTCCTCGTCGCTAGTCATGTCCGTGGGCGGGGGCATCGAAGTTCCGCTCAACAAAGACTTGGCGGCGGCATCTGTCGTAGTTGTCGCATGTTCGGCGCTGAGCTCGGCTGTTCGATTCCCCGCGGCGGCATCGTAACCGGGTCCCATTCCGTCTGTTGCGGCTTTCTCTCCAGGCCAGCTGGTTTTCAGACACTGCTGTGGGAGAGTGTGTGTGATGTAGTTGATCGTCTTAAATTCGCAAACGCCCACACATGAGTCCGCGGGGTGAGTACTGGATATGGCCGACCGTTGAGCTGACGATTGAACGCAAATATGTAGGATGAATGCGGCGACGACGGGCAATTGCCTATGCAGCGAGTCCGGGCCGTAAAGCCGCATCTTGTCGCCGAGGCTTTGGCGACAATAGAGCAGGCAATGGCGGTTTGATTGGGTCGTTCATGATACGACAGGCAGCGCGATTATGGCTATGACCATTGCCCGTTCGGTAAACCATCACTTGCTAACGCTATGTCTACGTAAGTAGGTGTAGGTGTGTAAAGAGTAGCTTTAAATTAATACCCTAAGTAACTAGCACCTTAATTGAGTAACTTGACCTAGCTTATATGTTTAGTAACCTATTCTCAAATTAATAATTTTAGTATTAAACGCTATAATGTTTAAAATAGAGGTTGAATTAACTTTATTATATTTTATTTTAAGAAGAAATAATTTAGCTATATTTAAATTTATTTACTACTATAGGTATATAAAAACTAGATCTTATATTATAATATTACTTATATTTAAATTTTACTTAAAGAAACCCTCTTCTTATAATAATAAGTATTAATTTAAGTTTAAATATATCTAAAAGTATAATATATATATTTATAAAATATTATATTATTAAGTTTATAGTTATAATATAGCCTCCCTATAAAAAGACTATAATAAAATTAACTCTATATATAGGTATAATTCTATAAATACTATATAGGTACTTTAACTTATACTTTCTACTAATTAAAGAAAATAGTATAAAACCCCTATATATTTATACTAATAAGTAAACCTTTATATAAAGTTAAATATATACCCTAGCTAAATAGATTAATAGAATAGTAATAATACTAATTATATATTATAAAGCTAGTAGTACTATATATAGTAAAGCTAATTATATTAAAACTAAATAAGTTATTAAAGCTTTTATAACTTAATAATACTACTATATATAAGGGACTAGATACCTAGCTAGAGGGCTTAGGGATAGCTTAGCTAGTAGAGGCTAAATAGATAGGAAGGTCTATAGGTCTAAGGTATAGAACCCTCTATAATAAGGACTTAGTAAGTACTTACTAAAGACTAAAAAAGAAGGAACTTAGAAGAAATAAATAAAAGTAGTATAGTAATACTATACTTACTTTTTAAATACTTCTTCTATTAGTTTAACTTAACTATAACTTATAGCCCTTAAATACCTTTATAATTCTTTTACTTCTACCTTACTTTAGAAAGGTTAATAATAATAATAGTACTATATACCTAAGTAATACTTACTAATTAGGCTAAAAAAGTTATACTTAGTATTTGTTAGCATAGGTATAAGCGTATTCAGGGGCGTGGTATATGCGCCTATATAGTATAGGGTTATAGATGGGCTTATATTATGATAAAAGGTGATAATCCTAAGCATTTATAAGCATTTAATCGTATAGATAATAATAAGGGAATTAATATATTATAATGACTCTAGTTGTAGTTATTTATGTAGTTAGTAGGTTTCCTCCTCTAGTAGGGAAAAGTGAGGGGAAAGATAATCTAAA